GGAAGTCGCGGCAAAAATGAGGCTAGCAACGGTGAGATATGTGAATAGGAGCATCCAGAGTTCCTCACTTTGATATCAGCGCGCAGACAAGTAGTCGGAAGCTGACGCGGTTCAGATACTGGCGCGAGACAGGGTTCCAGGCGGTATATGCGATCGCCAGCAGTAATATTGCTGTGAGCACGATACCCGTAACGTTGAATGTCAGGACGACATCCCTAGAAAAGAGGGTGAGGTACGGCCAGGCACATTCGCGGGGGCTTACTGGATGTGTGCGTCGAGCGCGTTAGGGACATGCAATTTGGTGTTCGACATGGGAACTAGTCTGAGAGAGAGGCCCACGCAACATACTTACTTATACCATGGGCGGACACTTGGGGGCATTAATGTCACGGACGGCCATCAAGGTACACCGATGTGCCGGTGGCGTGCAGGGTAGCATCAGCATCTGGGTTAAGGCCATAAAAAGAAGCCAATGGGAGGGTGTGCCGATGGCGGCCTGGGCGAGTGCCGTCAACGTGGCTACCGATTTAGGTATGAGCGAGATGGGGAGTGTGCCTGCGTGTGCGGCGGCTCGGAGGAGCGTGGATAAGGAAGGTGATATTAATGACGGCAGAGTGTCAACCTGAGTCTCATCTGCTCAAATGTGCTTAAATGTGCTTTTCGCTACCAACACACTTCAGCAAACGTTTTGAAGAGTTCGAAAAGAGTACAGAATTTATTCAGTCTCAGTTTCATTTCAAGATTCTTGCGCCTGGCCGAAGGTCAAAAGTCCGCTGGGTGCGTGGGAACGCGAGGCGGAGTTTCAAGACCTCCACTTAGACAGCGATTGGAAATGAGAATTCAAATTAGGAAGAATTCAGGGACTGACTTCCTCAGATTGAGAATTCGGCCGCCATGTCGTACCCCCAAGGGAAGCAGCCAATCCATAATAGTAGATCGTCGCATAAGAGAAGCGGGTCGGGTTCTACACACCACCTCAGAAGTCCTAGCATTGATTTCAACAAAGTTGAGTGCAAGTTAAATGGCCAGTTATTGCAAAACTTACCTGTACAAGACTTTCGATAACGACGGCGCTGTTTCCTCGCGAGTTAAATAGAAAGTGAGAGAGAGAAAAACCAATTCAACAACATCATCCGGACGCTGCTTCCCGCCGCAGAGCGTGCCCGGCGTTGAATTTATGCGGGCGTGTGCGGTACATTACATCCGAGTTTATATCCCGATTTTTGCGCAGGTTAAATGGCGTATTATTGAGGGACATACCTGCGTACCTTACACCCCGCTGGGGATGAAAAACGTCTGAAGTGCATGAGTTACACTGCGTTTCGACTCGTCCTAAACTCAGCTCGATCTGTGAGCCCTAAACATAGCTACGCAGAGGGCTGTGGTTAATGCGACTAGATAGACCATTTTTACATTTGTGCAGATGCGGTTAGCTCTGTATATGTGTGCAGCGGTATGCTCACTCCGTGTAGCTCGGTCTAGAACTGTAGCTAGAGTTGAATCCACACCATAGCCACACCTATACCTACCTACTAACTATTCGGTTGTTCTCCGAGTCCTTCTGGATCATTCTCGTGCCATGACACCCGCCCTTGGCCAACCCTGGCGGCGGAAGGACGCCGACGAAGTTTAAGTATGATATTCTCAAAATAACCTACATTGTATCCCCATTCGTGAATCTGCGCCGCGGAATTATTGTTGAGAGGGGTAGCCCTGTGGAGGATCGAGCTGACGTAGGTGGGGTCGGGGCTAGCTGAGTATAGGTAATCTAAACTCACCTGCCTTCAGCTAAGCAGAGCTCATACTAGTCTCTGCTTAGGCGACCTAGCCGTCGGCAAAGCAGAGCGAAGCGCAGCTACGCAAACTGAGGTTAGGACCAGTTGAAAACCTATGATGATGAAATCAATATATTATAGTAGCGCTCAAGCCATTTAGAGCCTATGTGGTTACTCTGCTGCGATATCTACGCTACTGTGTTTCCAGCAATCTCTGCCCATTTAAGGGAGGCTGAGGGCTAAAACGCAGCGGGGATGCATTTCGGTTACCCCTTGGTGTGCCGTAAGTCCCCCGCGACCGTCTGACCAGCACCTATGAGCGAGCGCTTAGCCAGCGTAATGTCGGAAAAACGGGCAATTAGCTTTATGTAACGGTGTTTAAACTTGACAATCTAAATCTCTCGCGTCAATAATTTTTCCGACGAAGCGACGGGGAACTTGGTTGGACCCAAGCCCGAATCGAACGGGGAACCTTCTACTCACACTCCAGCAAAATACGACACGGAACGCAGACGCGGACCATCCGCTAGTGGGTCGTTATTTGAAGTCGCTTCAATTTGATATTGAGCGCAAGTGCGCTGGCATCGATTAATTACCTTAGTGCATACTTCGCATTCAGGTGCGTGCTAGGTATATTCCGCCCAATTTATTATATTACCAGTGCCCATCTGAATCCGGTCTATAGAAACACCAGCAGCAAGTTCTAAAATTGTCGCATCAACCCCGCGCCGGTGCCGCGTCAGTGCACCTCAATGCGCGCCTGCCGCGCCAATTTCTCCGGACCGGTGAGATGTTTGGAGGCTCGAGAGAGATGCACCAAAACAATCACAATAAGCAATCATATTCACTCGGTCGCTATCGGCAATAGTTGGTACGTGAATTGGAATGCAAACATGCCTACCCTACCATTTCGACCAAAGGTTCACGGTATGTCACCCGTCACTTCAATTGTTCACTAGATTGAACGTTCATTCTCGGCAATCATGGGAAAATTACCCTGAATGGTAAGCCGGCAAATGCCGGTGCGAAAATGTTCGTGCTTTTGGACCCATTTGGGCCCAAAAACCGACCGTTGTCACCGAGGTGAAAATTGTTCAGTTTATGACTAGTCTCTCTTGACAGATGCTTTATCGATACCAGCTCGTTCCTCGCTCGATAAAGTCTGTTGGTTACCGCGCCTTGATACCCGGGCGCCTGCATTATTATGTAAGATTTCCTTTTGCAGATTTCACGTGCATGGCCCATTGACGCGTCTTGAACGCGTCGTAGTGGTAGCTGAGGACTGGGAGCAAATTTGAGACCTGTGTTCTGAAATAAATACTTTCAATTGTCTGCTGATTTTTTTCCGGCATGACCAAAGCCAGTAAAGCCCCTTGACGAATATATTGGTCTGATTTTAACCATTCCTTCTCGGAAACACCCCAGTGTATTTAAGTTGTGAAACTAAACATGCCTGGAACTCATCAAAACTGTCTTCAGCGCGTTTTAGACCACCCGAAGATGTTCCGTGGCAGTGAAGAAGACAAACGCGTCGAGACGCGTCTCGGCGAAGTTCCCAAAACGGAAGCTTACATAATAACGCAGGCACCCGGGTAATCAGCGCGGTAACTAACAGACTAGTTTATGACCCTCCGTCACCCGTCACCTGAATCTTTGGTCGAAATGGTACAGTAGTACTTGGCTCAAAGGAGACGCCCAGCATGTTGATACCACGTCCCCCAGGACCCAGGCCCAAATTGAACAGGCGACCCTGTTGCTACGCGGTGTCGCAAGACTCTCAAGGAGGGCAGACGCGGACCGTCCGCTACTGGGTCGGTATCTGACGTCGTTGGTGGTTGGGCACGACTGGAAAAAGTGGAAGGGAGTCGTGGGGTTATATACCAGCCAGAGTGAAGACTTGCAGTCCATCGATGAAGGAACGAAGCAGGTCCCGGAAGTGCGGGCCGTTGTTCACATCACACGACAGATCTGGTGGGAAATTGAAATTTGATGGCGCCTCTCCTTCCTTCCGTCCACGACTGCACATCGACGACAATCGATTCGCTCCCCTCCAGATTGCACGCAGCGACAACACAGCAACAGAATTGCTGCCTGCACTGCTGTACCTTACGCCAACTCCACACCGCGTCAGTCTAACTTTCGCTTTTAGATGTGCACCGCACCGTGCTCTTCCTTCCCAGTGCTACTCTTCACCTTCGCACACTGTACGTATAAGTGGACGCCACCCATGCGCGTGCTGCTTCGAAGCTCATTTTCGAACTCCACCAGCCTCACGCTAGATGAAATGCGCTTCTTTTACGACACGCTGCCGGCATACATTTGCCCATACCCGCGTCAGCCCTTGACGCTTGGCCAGCCCAGTCTAAGCACATGCCTCGCTAGTACGCGCTCGCTCCGTATTCCAGCCGCCCCGTGCACGGCAGATCCTCAGCGTAATCGTTCATCCGCGTGCAGCGCGGATACCATGTCCTAATTCACATGATGGAATCCCGGTCGAGAACGCCGCGTGTTCAATTCCCCTCCCGCGCTCGCTATTGAAGGCCCTGATCCCAAAAGTACTTATTCCTGCGGCGTCTTCCGTCACGTCATTTCGCTATCATGTCGCTTATTGTGCGACGTCTGCTCATGCGTTTGGCGCTGCTGCCAGACGTGCGCATGCCAGTTCCGGTCCCAAATCCCAGAAGAACGCTCTGCGTTGTTGTCCATCGTGTAAAAAATCGCATTCCGTCCATCTGCCTCTTAGATAGCGCTGGCCTTCATGCAAAAGACGCCAATGCTGCCGGTCACCCGCATATTTCAAGATCACGTTTCCTGGGGCATGTACGTACCTGCGTCCGTCTGCCGCCGGATGCACCTCGCTCTGACGCAATACATGCCGCATACGCCGCCAGCGCGTTCTGCAATGCGTGCTCCTCACTCGCGAACCAAGCCAGCTACGCTCATAGATTTTTCGGAAACGCCTTCATATTGCATCCCAGATGCGCGTTTAGTCGAAATACAGGCTCCTACACGAGCGAGCCCGCAGAGAGTGCGTCTATCTCATATTACGCTTACTTCGCACTGATTATTTTTAGAAGCCAGCTCCGCTGCAAATCGCATCGGCCGCCCAGCTCCGCGCCGCTGTATTGATCATTCAAATCATTCACCTCTCAACCAAAAAGTGTGTCCACTTCACAACCCGTTGACCATTCTCTCCTTAGAGTGGTACGCTTTCATCAGAAGAACTTGGACGTGGTGTACGGCGCACGCCCGCATGCTCTGAAGATGTATAAATTTTGCGACGGGAAGCCTGGGTTCGACTCCCGGCGTCCGAATGAATGATATGCGTAGCCCTTTTTTATGCATCTTGGCCCTCATTGGATAGCGCCCTCGTCCGCCAACGTGAACTGTTTTTCCGCGCGATTCGCGCGGTCAGAAGTCCGCTTGCTGCAGTTTCGTTGCATTTTTCGTTGTGTAATTCCCAGATCTGACTTCGTCCTTGGATTTCTTCGCTTCCATGCCGCGAACGGGCTGGTAATATCGTAGATGCAGTATACGCATTTTGATCCGTCACTACTCCTGGTCAATAATTTCTGGCGATGTCCAAAATCCACACTACAGTTACTGATGATTGAACAGAGTCAGCAGCACCTCCAACGTTGACACCCGTTCTTTTTTCTTTTCTTTACATCTCCTTTCTGACATCGTTTATCGCAGCAAAAGGACCCAGGAAGTAGCTCGAACATACCATATGTGACCCCTGAAATTAGGGGTAGCATCTCGAACGTGCTGTATGGTGCACGCCCGCATGATTTTGATGGGCCAATTCTTAACCTTATGCGGCGAGTAGTCTGGGTTTCACTCCCAGTGTCCAAATGCCGGAACTCTGCGTTTTTTATTTACCATGCCATCTTGGTCGTCGCTGCAGTTGGTTCGTGTTTCAACCCATCATTTCCCTGGCTCGGGGTATTCATGGCATTCGAGTGTGCTCGTTTATGCACATTCTGGCCATCCGGGTCGTTCCGGTTCCTGCTGCTTGCCATTAATTACGATAGTGTTGGTTACCCTGCTTATGCGGATGGCACCACGTGTTCGGGACTGGCAATGTCGCATCCTTGGCATGCTATAATTTTATTCTTTCACGTTTGAATGTGTCTTGAGATCTCAGTACTGTATAAGACGCGACAATATTCGGATGAGCATTTTTCAATAAATAACGCACAACACGCTCCTCATCGGGCCATTTCTCGCTCAGGAGCAACAAGCAAATATAGGTGCAGAAAGCTATTGTGTATACCGATTTGGCTCACGGCGCGAGACGCGTCGGATCACGTGCGTCGCCGAGCGTCAATCTTGGAACTTATTTTTTGAGTTAATCTGCCCCGCCGATTCTCTGACATCCGGCCGTACAAGTCCAAATGATTCGAAATTTTTAAGAAATGATTGCTTGAGTATCAATTGAAAGAGTAGGGAGACCAAAAAAAGATCATCGATACCGGCGTGCACATGGACCCAGGCCAGAATCGAACGGCAAGTTCTGCAAAGGGAGACCAAAAAAAAGATCATCGATACCGGCGTGCACATGGACCCAGGCCAGAATCGAACGGCAAGTTCTGCAAAGGGAGACCAAAAAAAGATCATCGATACCGGCGTGCACATGGACCCAGGCCAGAATCGAACGGCAAGTTCTGCGAGCGAGATATCCAATTGCAGAAGCAAGGACGGCAGACGCGGATCATCCCATACCGGGTCGTTATTGTGGTCCATTCGTACCCGAATTTGTATGCGAGTATTTAGAGTGCTCGAACCTTCGAGCGACGATGTATTAGCATTGTCGTTTGATTGTCGTGGAGCAGAATTCAAGGTAGGAGCCTTACCTGCCTTATCATGCCCGGGAAATGGCGCGGCGGACCTAATCTTGAAACAAAGAATGCGGAAAGTGGCGAGCCTGTTCAGATGCAGGCGCAACATTGCCGGCGGACGAACGTTGGCCATTCTGCTCGTCGGACAATATTCTGAGTAAGTCGTTTGCATGCAAACTCAAGTACCATGAGGTATGAATACCGACCCGGTGGCGGATGTTCGCATATATTATTATTGAAAGAGAATTTGACTCTGGTCTAGGTCCACGCACGCTCTGGAGGCATTTTTTTGCTTCCCTTCTCTTTGAATTTCGCTCAACCATGCTCATTTCTGAGTAAGATAGAACCTTTTGAACAGCCACGGGCCGATGACAGAGCTCCGGCCGCTCACTACTCAAAACGATTTACGCTCCGCGGCGCACGTGATGCGACGCGCATCGCTGTGGTAGCCAAATACAGATAAATATGTATCCTTCTACCATGGATTTCGGGCATTACTTACATATCGCAGGAAAGGCGCTAAAATTGGCTACTTTTTTTGCACAGAATATCACCCACACAACATAGGGGAATCAAAGATGAGGTCGCTGAGCTTAATTGCTATTCACACTCCCATTTTTTTTATGGTATGCACAGCTGTCAGTAGTAGTAATGATATTTGGGGAGCGTAGATGATTCAACTATTCATATAAAGCCCGGTTGATTCCAAGATTTTCCATTAAAGGGTTAGAATTCATAGAGTCGTTGATGACTGCCGAGTCAGACAGGCATATAGTACAAGAGGGACTGCCTTTTTCTTTACTACATAGTGCACTCACAATCACTCCTCATATCTGCCGCACGATATCCTCAGCTCTTGAGCGCGTCTGCGCTTCGACATCCAGCCCCTCCTCCTTCCGCGCCACCTGACTTAATCCACTCTGCTCTGGCTCCTGTTCCACGAGTGACGGCTTTCCGCTTGCCCCCCCGACGCCACCATGACTCATCACACTCTGCTCCACGAACGGTCTCGACGTGCTGCTCTCCTGCACATGCAACTCGTTACTCGCCGCCCCCCACGTCGTCAAGTTTGTCTCCTGTTTGAGTTTCGACCCCACGAGCGCGGGGCTGTTCATCGAGAAACGCTTCATTTTGTGCCAGTTCATGAGGGGAGTATTTGAGAAGATGGAACCAGTGGAGTGTTTGATTTTTCTCTGGTTTCGGAGTGCACGTATTGCAAGGAGAAAGCCCTGGTGACAGGATGGCTGGTTAGCTGAAGAAGTAGCGGATATTAGGAATGATGTACCGGATCCGTTGCTGCGAGGAGGGTGTATAAGATGGGGCGAAGAGAAAATGCGCAGAGGTCTGGTTAAGGTGAATCGGGATGGCGTCGGGGTATAGGAAAGGGTTGGATAAACGCACCGACGAACGAGAGTCGCCATTGCTGTACGCATGCAGGTTAAAAGCCACTCTCGGATGGGAAAAGAATGTGCGCATACCAGTTCGGTGGGGATGGGGTTTTTGGTTAGCCAGATGTCCAGAATAGAGCCGGTGAAGTTCAGGGAACACGAGAGGAGAGGGTAGAGACCTAACGCCATGTTGAATAGCCGTACGTTATAAAGACTTAGTACAAACCGATTCGCAAAATGAAGCTGCGATACGTCACGATCGGCGGCTTCGGAATGGTATTGAACGACGATGTCGAGGGATTGTACAACACCCTTTGCGTCTACGCATCCGTCAGCCAAACAACGTCCTCATCACAAACAAAATACCACTCACCCGATACATGTACGCCAGGATCACGAAAAAAGACACGACTTCGCCTGTGGACATGAGCAGGATCCAGACGGACTGCGACCCGAGGAGCCAGCGGAACTGCACATCGGGGCGCGGGTCACTGAACCAGCAGGTACTGTTATAGTACCCGAACTGGCCAGCGGCGTATGGCGCGATGTTTAGAATGGCCACGGCCGTGACGGAGCCAATGTAGTAGAACTTTTCCATTAAGTTGCCGTTGACCTGGTGTACGAGCACCAGTCTGCGCACGTGGTTCAGGATCATCGAGCCAGGGGAAAGAGAATGTGTGTACGAACTGCAAATTGAGTGCGGTGCAAAAGAACATGCATGCCGAGAACATGAGGATGCTCTTGAGACAGTGTCAGCGGCTGGCGGGGTGAAGAAGCGCCCTCGTCTACGCACCAAGCCGAAGAACGCCATAAAACTGCACCCGGCACTGGGGCCCGAGAAGACCGGGATGGAAGTCGCAGCAAAAATGAGGCTAGCAACGGTGAGATATGTTTAATAGGAGCATCCAGAGTTTCTCACTTTGATATCAACGCGCAGACAAGTAGTCGGAAGCTGACGCGGTTCAGATACTGGCGCGAGACAGGGTTCCAGGCGGTATATGCGATCGCAAGCAGTAACATTGCTGTGAGCACGATACCCGTAATGTTGAATGTCAGGACGACATCCCTAGAAAAGAAGGTGAGGTACGGCCCGGCACATTCGCGGGGGCTTACTGGATGTGTGCGTCGAGCGCGTTAGGGACATGCAATTTGGTGTTCGACATGGGAGCTAGGCTGAGAGAGAGGCCCATGTAATATACTTACTTATACCATGAGCGAAGAAGAGCGTAGGAAACGTAACCGTTAGGCACATCGCTAAGAAAATGACACTTGGGGGCATTAATGTCACGGACGGCCATCAAGGTACACTGGTGTGCCGGTGGCGTTCAGGGTAGGCATCAGCATCCGGGTTAAGGCCGTAAAGATCAGCCAATGGGAGGGTGTGCCGATGACGGCCTGGGCGAATGCCGTCAACGTGGTTACCGATTTAGGTATGAGCTCGCGGTGGTCACGGCCGATGGGTCGCGGCAGATAGGGAGTGTGCCTGCGTGTGCGACGACTCGGAGGAGCGTGGATAAGGAAGGTGATATTAATGACGGCAGAGTGTCAACCTCAGTCTCATCTGCTCAAATGTGCTCAAATGTGCTTTTCGCTAGCAACACACTTCAGCAAATGTTAAAAATCAGGTTGAAGAGTTCGACAAAGAGTACAGAATGTATTCAGTCTCAGTTTAATTTGAATGTTCTTGCGCCTGGCCGAAGTTCAAAAGTCCGCTGGGTGCGTGGGAACACGAGTCGGAGTTTCAAGACCTCCACTTAGACAGCGATTGGAAATGACAATTCAAATTAGAAAGAATTCAGGGACTGACTTCCTCAATGACTTCCTCGAATTGAGAATTCGGCCTCCATGTCGTACCCCCAAAGGAAGCGGCCAATCCATAATAGTAGATCGTCGCTTAAGAGAAGCGGGGCGGTTTCCACACACCACGTCCGAGGTTTTAGCTTTGATTTCAATGAAGTTCAAGTTGAATGCAAGTTAAATGGCCAGTTATTGCAAAACTTACCTGTACAAGACTTTCGACAACGACGGTGCTGTTTCCTCACGAGACAAATTTCACAGGTCGGAACTTGAAGTTGAGCCAACACT